GTGAGGCTGTCCACTGATCTCCTCCACATGCCAGCACACAGGTGAGCATCCTCAAACTTTGAATTTCCTACAAGCAGTGAAAAATTTGAACATAGTCATCTCCCTACACAATATTCAGGACCTATGTTAAAGAAGGATTAACCATCGGAAGTTCATTCCTTCTAGGGGGCAGAGTCTCTCTGGGGAGGTGATGTCTGAGCTAAGACATGGCCAAAAAAGGGCGGTATCAGAGGGTACCTCGGGGTCATCCTGGGCATTTCGCAGGTCAAATCCACTGGCAGGAAGCACAAGAAAGGGAGCAGGTGGGTAGGCACGATACTCAAGCCAGCTGGGCAGCTCATGTAGAACTTGGCTTTTCGACTTCATTCTAACCGTGACAGGAAGCTACTGGAGAGTTGCTGCATGCATGCATGTATGTGTATATATTTAAGATGGTTTTAATTACATGTGTGTATCTGTGTGTCTGTGTACATGTTTGTGGGTGCCTGCCAAGGGAGGCTATTAGGTCTCTGGAGCTGGAGTTACAGACAGTTGTAAGCTGTACAATACAGGTGCTGGAAACCAAACTCAGGCGCTTGGCAAGAGCAGTCTGTGCTTTCAACTGCCGAGCCATCTCCCCAGCCCCAACTATGTGTATGTTTAAGATTTATTCTTATGTGTATGAGGTTTTTGCTTGAATGTTATGTGCCTCATGTGCATGCAGTGCCCAGAGAGGCCACAAGAGGGCACTAGATCCTTTGGAACTGAAGTCATAGGTGGTTGTGAGCTGTCCAGTAGGTGCTGAGAACTTAACTCAGGTCCTTGACAACAGCAACAATGTTGTTGAGAGAGATATCCCTCCAGGACCCACATGTATATTAAAAGAATTGTTGTTTTGTGTTCAGGCACAAATAGAAACAGATCCAGAAGGAAGTTCATGCAGGGGGGGGGAGAGAGGGCCAAGGGTGATGAACAGGAGGAAGAATCATGGAGTTGGTGAGAGATGGTCAGTATACATTTGAAAAAGAGCTGCCCTCCATTTTTGAGTTTGGACATGGGATGAGGAGAGAAAGCAGGGCCACTCTGAGTTTTGGTGAATACATGAGGATCAGTAAAGCAACACAGCATCAGGGATTGGTTTCGGAGACCTTCATTTTGAGATCTCTCATAGACATCAAAATGGCCCACCTGAGCCCGCACATCCCGGAGAGACCAGCGGTAGAGCTGGACACAGTAGATTGCTGTCACTGTCACCTGGCTCTGCTGTCTTCTTTCAGGTCCTCCAATGTTTCATATATTCCTGCCTCAGGACCTCTGTCTATACTTACTAATCCATGGCTAATTTCTATTCATCCCAGTGATCCTGGTTTTAGAGACCTGAAGGCTTCCCCAAGTTCCCCATTACCCCCGAGATCCCTCCTGGGATCATGGCTGCACCTTCTTTCCTGTGATATTATCAGTTTGTAATGGGGAGAGGGGAGTGTTAATGTTGGCAGAATTGAGCTGGATTTCTGCACCCTGGTTCAGTCAGTAGCAAGTCTGCTGCAAGCTTCAAACCCAGTGACTTCCTTGGCTTCCCACTGTGCTTTTGCTGGGGAGGCCGGGACATGAAAGGAAGCTCTCCACGGATGTCAGCTGCAGAGCAAGGGAAGGTCCCCAGCTGCTCTGTCAAGGCCTCTGTCCAACCCCACTCGGTGCTGCCCCATGCGTGAAGGCCATCTCTTCTGCCCCCAGTCTGAAGAGCTCCGTTATTTATTCTAGAATTAAAAGTATGCATGTCCCCTGCCCAAGGCTCTAGCCTTCAAGCTAGCCCTGAGAAAAGCAAGCCTCCTTGCTCCCTAGCTGCAACAAGAACATCGCTCTGGGTCAGGACCTGGTCTGAACCCTCCCTGTGATAACTCTGCTTCGGTGTAGAGGTCAGAGTGAGATGGTCTGAGAAGATGATTTTCTGGAGGACAGCCAAGCTCGTGTTCTGCATGGCAAGCGTGGTCTGGCTCTTCCCATGGCTAGCATATGGGAAGCACTCTGTCAGCGGAGAAGCCATCTTCCCTTCTTCATTAGCTTAGCTTGCTCTTGGGCACAGTAAGACCAGATTGGAGGGCAGTCCTAGCAGTTGGATGTTTAGCCCCATAGAGGTTTAGCTGAGGTTTAGCTTCAGAGAGGAGGATAGTTAAAGGGAGACTTATACAAAGAGTCATGACATCTATTCATCCCTCTCTCTCTTCATCCATCCATCTGTCCATCCATTTACTCATCCATATATCAATCCATCTATCCACTCATCTATCTTCCTGTCTGTCTGTCTGTCTGTCTGTCTATCTATCTATCCATCCATCCATCTAAACAACCACCTATCTATCCATCCACCCATCCATTCATCTGTCCATCCAAACATGTCTCTATTCAAGTATCTTTCCAAGCTCCATTCATGTATGTATCCATGGCACATTAGACTGTGAATAAGGTGGTCATGAACCCCACCTTTGTGGATCCCATAGGTCTTTGGAGATAAAATTCTCTAGTTGGCCAGGTCCGGGTCCTTCATTCTCTTCCTTGACAGGCTTGATGGGATGACTGTGGTATACGTCTTCCAAGATTATCTTAAGAGCATCTTCCCAGGGGCTGGAGTACAGTTCAGTGGAGGAATATTTGGCTCTCTTTCATGAGACCCTGGGTTCAGTTAACAGAATAAAGGAAGACAGATTCTGGGCAGGCACAGGCAGTAGATGCCAGCTCGACCAGAAGCGTTTAGTCATCATGGAGTAGAGCAGCTATACTGAACCTGTGGGTCACGACCCCTTTGGGTATGTCAAAAGACCCTTTCGCAGGGGTCACCTAAGACCATGGGAAAACACAGGTGTCTATATTAAGATTCATAACAGTAGCAAGATTTCAGTATAAAGTAGCAACAGAAATAATTTCATGGTTGGGAGGTTGCCATAGCATGAGGAACTGTACTAAGGGGTTGGTTGCAGCATTAGGGAGGTTGAGGACCACTAGAGCAGAAGGCTAGCAAGGGATGGGTGGGGGTGACTGAGGATTCAGGAACTCCACTACAGTGCTTCTCTTATGTTCCCTTGGCCAGATTTCAGAGTCTGACCTTGGGCCTCTGTCATAAGGACCTGGGAAGAAGATGCATTTCCTTCTAGATATCCAGGTCTCGCCTGGAGTCCTCACCCCTAAGATACTTGGATGCCCCCACTACAATGCTCCTTTATGCCCTGAAAACCAGAAGGTGCTCTGTAAGCCTGGAACCTGGAACCTGGAACCTGTGCAGAGCCAGGCCTAGGCCCCTGCAGGGATGTGGACTCTGAACCAGTTGCTGTCATCTCTGGTTTCTCATCTGGAAACATAAAAGAGTTTGTTTGTTTAAGTGCATATGCTGAGAGCCCAGCACCCAGATTTAACTGGTGCCTGGTGAGGCTTTGGAAACTGGATGTTTTAACTGGTCTCCACTGGACTGTAGTACACTGGGGAATTAGGAAGGCCTGCTTACAGCTGTGCCTCTTTGCATCCGTGTCCTGTAACCAGGGCAGCGGGATAGCCTTGCAGTAGCCTGCATCTCAGCATCTGCGGCAGTTACTCAGCAAATATTTCTGAAGAGTTGTTTGGTTTTGGTGGCAACAGTTGTTCTCTCGGCCAGGCAGTGGTGGCGCACGCCTTTAAATCCAGCACTTGGGAGGCAGAGGCAGGCGGATTTCTGAGTTCGAGGCCAGCCTGGTCTACAGAGTGAGTTCCAGGACAGCCAGGGCTACACAGAGAAACCCTGTCTTGAAAAACAAACAAACAAACAAACAAACAAACAAACAAACAGAGTAGTTCTCTCCTTCCATAGCCCAGGCTGACCCTCAAACTTGAAGCAATCCTATTGTCTCTGCCTCTCAGGCGCAGGGATTATTGGCATGCCTAACCACACCCAGCTCAGTGATGGATAGCTCGAGGCAGACCTCCACTGTGGAGAAGTGGCTCCCCAGGAAGAGTGCTTGCCCTCTGTCCTCCTTCCTGATGGTCCAACATCCAGGAGTGTAGTCATTGTCATCAAGCCTGAATTGAGACCAGGACCCCAGGGCCCCACTCACCGAGGGCCCCACCCACCCAGACTTCTGATCTTTGGTTTCCTTACGTCTTATCACCTCCTCTCTTGAGGTTGCAGTTGCAGCCGGGCCTGGCTTTTAAAAGCTGTTCTGGTGATTGTAATCACGCAGGAGTATCGGGGACCACTGCCCAACTCGGCTTTGCTACCTTGTTTCTCACTCTGAGAGTTGTAAACTGGGAAGCTCGTCGGAGGGCGGCCCTGAGTTCTTCAACAGTCATCCCAAACCTCTGCCCCGGAGGCGTGATCAAAATTCCATATTCCTGGGTTTGAATCCAGGCTAGGAACTGAGAGCCACGGGGAGGAGCCTGATAATCTACATCTCACAGCAGCCGGATGTACAGGTTACCTGTCAGCCCTGCCTCCCACACACTAGACCACTTCCTGTTCTCACTACCAGGACAGGGTCCCCAGATCATCATCAATCAAACTTCGCGTGTCACTTCCCCCTGGCGCCAAAGCCTTCGCAGCTGAGTCCTCTCCCGGTTGTCAAAAGGGGTGATGATCTTTATACCTAATCTGTCCCTCCAGGGCCACAGTGGCTGCTATATGCTGGGTGGCACGTGGTAAGTGGCCCAGGCCTGGTCAATTGAGTTCGGAGCTTGCAAATCAGAGACAGACACTTTGGCAAGAGCCATGACTGTGGGCTTGCCCAAGAAGACAGAGGGTCCCTCCGAAGCAAAGGAGAGGAATCAGGAAAGGCTCAGCGAGTGATCCCTAAGGTAGAGCTCTCCGGCAGCAGCTTCTGGCAGGACCCTGGGTCAGACAATAGCAGGTGAAGCAGAAGTTGTCTGGGCCTGTCGCTCAGGCCAGACCGGGCTGTGCCCCTCCCCGTCCGGGCGGCGCCCCGCCCCACCAGCCACCGCCGTCCCCGCCCCCGCCCCCTCCAGGCTGCAACAGGTGCCTTGAGCAGGAAGCTCGCCTCGCCACCCGCTCCCCGGACGCGTCCAGGACCCACTGCGCCGTCAGCTATCCTCGGCCCCGGCGTGCGCCACAGACACGGTGACCCCTGCTCTGGGCGAGCCTCCTCCCCGCACCTCGACTCTACACGGCCCCGCAGCTCGAACGCCCTGAGCTATGGACGCCCCGGAGCCGCAGCCCGACCCCGACGGCGGGGATGGCCCCGGCCACGAGCCCGGGGGCAGTCCCCAAGACGAGCTGGACTTTTCCATCCTCTTCGATTATGACTATCTGAACCCTATCGAAGGTCGGTGGAGGCTCCCTGAGCCTGGTCCTAGAGCCCTGGTAGGGACAGGGCCTAGGGACCTGATGCAGGATTTCCTCCTGGAGCTTGCAGCAGGGGTTGCCCCTGCTCTGGTAACAGGGAGGGGAGTCGGAGTGGCCGCTCCGACTGAGGGTCACTGTCAGTATAAAAGAATAGTTAGCTCCCCAGTTCAGCCCAGCGGCAGTAGAAAAGATGTTTTTGCCTTCTGAGAGTGGAGTTGGTAGAGGGGCGTGTGCCCAAGGATGTCAGAGAGGCTGCAGCTGAGCCTGACAATCTTACTCCTGAGGCTGTGAGACAGTGACCCTGTGGCATCCTGGGAGCCTGTTGTTGGGGACTTTGTGTTGAAACTAAGGAAGAGGCTGTGTCTCATGCTTGAGGGTGGTTTGCCTTTGGTGCCAGAAGGCTGGCCCATTTCCTCTCTGAGTTTACCAGTCTCTGCAGGTAGACCAGGTTACTAAGCGATCTTTCACCAACCTTTCACCCATGCTGTCCTGGATGGGACACCTGGGGGAGGAGGACCGGCTATTTCTGCGAAGTTCCGTCTGGGCTTTCATTTGTCCCCTGTTGCTGGGGGCTGGGCAACACCCCTGTCACTCCAGTATTTAACAGTATCTGTCAGACACAGTAGCAGGCTTTCCACCCACCCTCACAGTTTCTGGGAGCAAACAAGGAAACCTACCCAGGTTTCCTGATTTTGATAGCCCAGCCCTTGCTTGCGGTGTGCTCAGGGCAAACCTGCTGGCAGCTTCCAGATGCCTCAGTGACTGCGGGCTTGCGGGCATCTGGTGTCTGGTGTAGGAAGGGTTGTGATGCTGACTGGGGAGTTGCGGAGTCCTGGTGGCATTAACCCCTTCCCTCCAGCAGGGTCCTCACCGACAACCTTTGGGGAGGGACTTGCTTTGGTGACAATTTTTATGTTCCGGCAAGAGATGATAATACAAGTTGAACAGCTAGTGTTGATGTTTTAGAGGTCCTTTCTAGGGACAGGCTTCCTTTGAAAAGACACAGTTAGGAATCTGTGAGCCATTCACACACATCAGTAGGCTCTGTGTTCCTTAAGATTAAGGTCATATCTGGCATGGAATTCACATCTTCTCTCAGGTTCATAGTCTCTCTCTCCTCTCTCTCTCTCTCTCTCTCTCTAGGTGAGGGTGGAGGGTGAGGATTTCCGGGGAAATAGTTTCCAAGCCAAATCTGGTGGGAGGTGCTTTTTATAGTTTTTCTTGGCAAGCAAAGCTCAGTGGCCAGCAGATGGGTGGCTTAACGACCATGGGAAAGCCTGGTAACCTGTGTTGTTGTTTTTTAATAATATACTTTATTTGGGGGGGTTCCACTTTCCCATTTATAGAAACACTGTGATAGTAACACAGAATTCCATCCAGCACCCATTCCCGCTTGCTATGGGCAGGGTACATTGGCATGGTGTATCTATTTGACACTGATACTTTGTCATTGAGAAAAGCTCATGCTTTTTCAGTGAGTGTATGTGTGTTGTGTGTGGTGTGTGTATGGTGTGTGTGTAGTGTGTCAGTGTGTGTGGTGTGTGTGTGTTTACTAGCCTTGAAGCACTTAGAAATAGGTGCTATAGATACATTATACACAGCCTATTTAATTTATTTCTGTGACAGGGTATCACGTAGCTCAGGCTGGCCTGAAACTAGACAGTTTCCTGCTACAGACAGCATCCTTAGTGCTGTCACAGACCTGTGACACCCTGTTTTATTTTATTTTCTTAGGATGTTTTCCTCATGGTTAGATTAGGGCTAGAGATGTTTGGGAGATCACAGTGGTGTGAGGCCATTCTCTTCTCCTGTCATACTGTCAGCCTGATTCATTGCTGTTGACCTGAACTTCTCCTCAGGAGATGTGAGTTTCTTCTCCCTGGCAACTCCTTTACAAATTGAGTTCTTAGGAAAGTCACCAGGTGAGACCCTTGCTCAGGTGTGGCCAATGACGCTCTGGGAATCTGTTGAGAAAGTGTGGGTGGCGTCAGGCTGCACAGAAGGGACTTCAGAGCCCTGGGAGGCAGATGTGAAGTACTTCGGCTGTGGGATCACCTCTAGAGGCCACTCCTCTCTGTTTCTTCATGGTAGGACTCCCTGAGAGCTGGGCTGACCTTTATCTTGGTGCTAGGCCTTGGTCTGAGATGATAGCATCCTGATGATGAGCCTGAAGTTAACTGGCCACAAGCCTGTCAAAATCCAGAGCAGGAAAACAGTCAACAGCGAGACAAATGTCACATGAAAACTAGTGAAGGCACAAAGGCAAGTTTGGGGAGGCCTGATCAGCAGCTATGGATGTACCTCTCATGCCTACCCACCGGCAGGTTCTGTGTTTGACTCCCAGTTTACAGAGGAGGAGAACTTAAAGGCACATTCTCTCTCTCTCTCTCTCTCTCTCTCTCTCTCTCTCTCTCTCTCTCT